AAAAAAAAAAAAAAAAAAAAGCAGAGTATCAGGCCTACCCCAGAAATACTGATTACATAATCTCAACTGAAAAGATTTATTGGTGATTTATAGACATATCAAACCATAAGAACCATTTTTCTCTTTAACACTAAAATCAATGTAAGATATAACTTCTTTCCCATCTGGAACATTTTCAAGTTTTGTAGTGCCTGAAACTTATATCACTTGGGAGTAGGGAGGAAAGGCTATCTAGGAAAAAAAGTACAAAAATATCTTACCTTGGAAAATTTTACAATATTGTATGACCATATGAATACATTGCTTCGGTCTCCATAAGTCTCTGAAAGGCACAAGTCAGGGAAACTGAAGCTTAAGCTTCATTAACTTTGTGGCAAAAAGGTCTGGTCCCCAACTCAATTTGTTGTATTTTCCAAGTCAATAACAAAATATAAATCCTAAGTGAAATATGAGGGGACCCCAAAAACCCCAGAATTTATAAAAAATTGTGTATTGCTGTATGTTTAAACTTCAGTTACCTTCAAAGTAATTTCTGTTTGGTGCAATACACCTATTAAGATCCTTTTCCTGCTCCTCAAAACAGTTTTTGAACTCATCGATTTTGATGCCTTTTAGTGCTTCTGCCATTTGTTTCATCTCTTCCACATTGGCAAAACATTTCCCTTTGAGGACATTTTCATTGGGAAACCAAAAAAAGTTGATCTGGGGGAGGGTAGGGCATGGGGGTCATGCTGTTTTGGGTCAAAAACTGCTGAACACTCAGCATGGTGTGGGCAGGTGCTCTTGTAAACCATCCATCATGAGATGAGCAAATGCTTGAAAGAATCTCCAAGAAAAATTCACTGAAGCCAAATGCATCCTCTCACAACAATGCTAGCTGGTACACTGGTGCAGATGAAACTGTTCTCTTCTAAAAACCCATTTTGAAGAAAATTATATTAGGGTTCATTATACCATAAAAAAGGAATATAATAATAAAGAAGAACACTCCAGATACAGAAAACAGAAGATACAACCTAGGAGAGAAGCTAAGGGAATCTGCAGAACGATAGTGTCTTAGTCAGGTTTGTGGACATAACAAAATGCTGTATACTACGTGGCCTAAACAATGAAAACTGATTTTCTCACTCTGGAGGTTTGAAATATGAGTTCAGGTTCCCAGCAAGGTGGGTTTCTGGTGAGAGCTTTCTTCATGGCTTGCAGGTAACTACCATCTTGTTTTGTCCTCATATGGGACAGAGAGGAAAAAATGGAGGGAGGGACGGGGAAGAAGGAGGTAAAGAGCAGAGGAGGGAAAGGAAGGGAAGGAGAAAGGAAGCAGGGAGAGAGGGGTGGGGGAAGAAGGGGAAGGGTAGGAGAGAGGGAGAAAGGGGAAGAGGGGGGAGAAAAGTAGAGAGAAAAAAAGTGAGTGCGTGAGCATGTGGGCATGTGTAAGAGCTTTGGAGTTGGAGTAATCTCTAGTATTTCTTCTTTAAAGGGCACTAATCACATCATGAGGACCCCACCCTCTTGACCTCATCTAATCTTAATTACCTCACAAGGACTCCATCTCCAAGTATCATCTCATTAGAGATTGGGGCTTCATCATGCAAATTATGAAGAAGACATAAACATTTAATCCATAATATATGACGAGAGATCCCTAGACGATAAACATGGAGACAGCCATCTTCAGAAAGATGAAACTGACAGAACATCTTAAGTATTTTATTTGAAGGTCTTAAATTTGAAGTTGGAAGACAATTTGAGGTTGAATTAGAGATCAGTAAATGGAAAGCAAAAGCAATAATTAAAAAAAGTCAAAAAACAAAAAAAACAAGTCAAAAATAGTAATAAAAAAGGACAACCATTGATTTTGTGGGGGGGAGACATGGCATGGGACATTACTCACTGCTGAACATCATCATAATAAATACTGAAGATGCATCTAATTAAAACTATTGTAAAATAATTACTGGGAAAATGAGATTTAGCAGGGTACGTGTGTGGTGAGAGCAGGAGAGAGTACATTTGAGGCAGGAAGATAGGGTGGCGCATGGAAGGTGAATCTCAACAGACAAAAACCCATGGGAACAGGAAAGAAGCCACTAAACAAGAACAGTCAACCTCCAAGGATAGAACATAAAAAACATTCCCTCCTGAAACAAAGGTGATAACCCCAGGTCTGGCGCATGCACACAAGGGACCTCCTTGAACTCTCTATAATATAGCAAAAGAGCTAGTAGAGGCTAATACATATGGACTTCATCTCATACATACAATTAAAATTATGGGATGGCAGGCAGAAACATGCAGTAAAACTGTTACCCCATCCCCAGGAAGTCCATTTAACCCCAGAAACACCGGTCAAAATGTTTTCTTTTTTGCAAGCTTTGCAAAATTAGAGTCCACTTTCCCAACAAAAAGAATATAAAAGGTCTCAGCTTTGACTCAAGGTTCTTGAGCTACTCTTCAGCTTGAGGCCACTTCTATCTTTCTTTGGAGTGTATAGTCACCTGTTGCTTTTGTTAAACAAACTACTCTTTGCTTCTGCTTTCTGTGTGTCTCATCCAATCCTTTGTCCGTGACACCAAGAACCTGGTCACCACCAACAGGCCTTAACCACCCCACAACACATTCCCATCTTTCACTGTACAAGTCAACAGACAATGTCTAAACCTGGAAAATCAAGGAGCAACAATACAAGAATGAAGTTAAGACATGTGGAGATAAACATCAATATAACCAACTAGGAGAGCTCTACTTTTTTGGAGAGTGTGTTTTATATTCCTGAATGTGTTGCTGCTATGGTGGGGAAGGGGGGATGCACAGAGCACTCTACCTGTGCAGACCCAGCCTCTGTGGTACATGGTGGCTTCCCTTAGGTTACATGGATAAAGCACCACTGACAGGGTGACCAATGGAGGACTGATGGAGACTGATGGTGACCCACCCTCCAATCCATCCCTCACTCCATGGAATCTTATCATGGAGTGTACTTTTTGTTGCTGATGAGTGTCCTCTCAAGTCAGTGATAGTGCTGAGGAAGGACACCTGGACTTGTAATCAGAAGCCCTAGAGTCAAAAGTTTTGTGCAGCCTCTTTCCTGGGACCACTTACTAACATATACACATCTACTCCCTCAACTACAAAATGGAGAACGTGGCATGGCCTTAAGAGGACTGTGGCGACAACAAGTAAAATAACATAAGTAAGCACTTTGTAGATTGTGACATATAACTGGATGGACAGGGGAATATGACATGAAGCTCTCCTACACTCACACTGCATGACTTTGACTTCCTTCCCCAGTGGCATCCAAAGTCCTTTAGTTGGTGCGTGAGCCAGAAACTCCCTGGCATGTTCATTGCCTGGTACATCTGGAATACAGTCTTCTGGCTTCGTCTCATCTTCCTAAACAAAGGAAACAAGGTGTCAACAACATGGCAAGAGAGCACTGGGATTCGCTCCCACCAGCTTTGGGGCCCACCACTACCTGGCTTCCTCCTGGGCTGCAGGTCTTAATATCATCTTAATTACCCCTCAAAAACTAGAAAGAAAGGCAAATTTTATCTGATCAAAAAAACGGAATGCAAATGTACCAGAAGAACTTTCCAAAAACAATGTTGCTGGTCTTAGACTAAAGTTACTGGTGAAGCAGACAAATCTATCCTTTATATGGGAATGATTAGTGAGCTACAAATTTTGATGTGAGATTCTAATTTCCAAAAACACTCAAAATGTAGAAACAATCAAGACATAAGAATTAAAGTAAACAAGGTTTCCTGGAATAATAAAAAGAGCATGTTGTATCAAAGTAACGTATTAAACCTTGAAGACCACTGTCATATTTTACAGTCACACAGATGCTGTATCACTACTGAAAAAGGGCATTTACAATTATTGCATTTCTTTTAACTTCCTGAATTTTTTCCAAGTTTCCATGAATATTAAATTTACAATAGTAGTGTAGGGTTTTGTTTTTTGTTTTTTTTGAGTTGGAGTTTCATTCTGTTGCCCAGACTGGAGTGCAGTGGCACATTCACAGCCACCGCAGCCTCGACCTGCTGGGCTCAGGCAATCCTTCTGCCTCAACCTTCCGAGTAGCTGGAACTACAGGCGTGTGCCACCACACCTGGCTAATTTTTTGATTTATTGTAGAGATGAGGTCTTGCCAAGTTGCTCAGGCTAGTCTCGAACCTGTGGACCCAGGCAATCCTCTCACTTTGGCCTCCCCAAGTGCTAGGATTATAGGCGTGAGCCACCGTGCCCAGCCAGTAGTATATTTTTTAAGACTCTTTTATTCATTGAAAGTTACCCAACACAATACATTTTCTTGGCCTTTGCAGAAACTCCTAACATTGCAGCCAGGGAGCTGAGGAGGGATCCCTGCACGGGTGGAGGCTGGACTGGATGGGTTCTCGGGTCTCCTCAGAGGTTACTGCTCTCTGAGCTGTTGACACTCAAGAAGCAGCACAGGATGTGCTGAGGGGCTGAGCTGGGTGAGGCAGACAAGGAAAGCAGCAGCAGGGCCAAGAGATGCAGTCACCAGTGCGAGAAGGGGACTCTGGTCGAGGAACACACATGGGTCTGCGCTAGTTCCTTGGAGAAGGGAAACCTGGCTAACATAATTTCCACAAAGGCACAGGCTTGTGACAAAGTCAAAATTATGACCCATCTGGCATCTGCAGGGAAGAAACAGGGTCTTCATAAAAGGAGATTTAAGCCTCATGCAAGCATTTTTCATAGCAAGTTACTAAGTCTGCAAGTATGTCTAATGGAATAAACAAGAATACAAACTTCACACTAACCTTGATAAGCCCAGGAGGAGGTTTTTCATAACTAGAAGACAAAAAACAAAACTTTATTGACCTTGTTAATGGGAGCACAACACACCAATTTATTGTAAAAAAGAACTGTTGGATTTTTAAACAGATTTTTAGCAACAGTAAGCTTTCCTCATCAGTTTTACACACCAGCAATCACCTGAAAGAGCAGAAAGTTTCTCCTACCTATGCTCTGCTGTATCCACCATCAGAGACTGGCCAAGCTTTCCTCATTTCTGTCCAGTGACACAGTACACAAGGGAGACCCAGAATGCAGAGCATGCAGATCTACATTTGGGACAGGCAGTGGGATGAGAAAGAAATTCTGAAGGCCAAGTGTTTGTGTACTCTAAGAACAACTCTCAGGCTCTTAAAGGGATCTGTACCTCATCCTCAAAGAGTAATACATACATATTTTTAGCTCAGATCTGTTACTTAACTAAGACAGGGTCTCGTTATGTCGCTCAGGCTGGTCTCAAACTCTTGGGCTCCAGTAATCTGCCTCAGCCTCCTGAGTAGCCAGGACTACAGGTGCATGCCATCATGCCTGGCTCTCTCATTTTAATACTTCAGAATGGCTGCAATGTACAGAAACACTTAATGATGCAATGTCTTCTCCTTTCTGACTCTCCTCTTATGCACAGAGTTTAAGGGATCCTGTAGAAGACAATGAGTATCGGGAGTGGGTGTCAGTAATAAACTAAGGGAAAAGTGAAATAATTTTCATTCTCCCCTTCTATAAGATGTGGGAGAAAACAACTTGATGGACAATGAATGAGAAATGCCATGAGTCACTCACTAATCCAGGATCGATCTGTCCTCTGAAGATTACATGGTAAACAACTGTGTAGTAACAGAATTACCTTCTTAGGTATGGTACCCAAAACAGATGCTCACAGTATTTTCTAGTAAAGTTGTGGCATGACATAAACCAAACTTAGCAAAAATGATGAAAATCTGTGCAACTTGGGATGATGATACAGTCCACCTCTATTATCACATTCATTGAAAACATTAATGCACAGCGAATGAAAGGAACTTGGTAGTAAACTCTATAAATCCAAAAATCCAGTAAGTCAGTTTGAGTGGTCAACAATATATGGGCACTCAAACTGAGATTCAAGTTCCTATAAAAAACATAACTGTTCTTGCCAAGATGAAAAGAAGTGTGATATACATCTATACATTTTGGAATATATTGTTATTAGCAGTGACATTCCCCAAAAGTTCATTTTACAACTGATTTCGCAAGTTTATTTATTTTTTAAAATTTATTTTATTTTAAAAATGTGGGGTACTAATTTCACAAGTTCAAAGAAAGGTAGTTCAAGTTATTTCCTAGTGCTCAACAATTCACAATTCATTAATGTATATTCAAAAAGACATTTCTCAAAGTTTAAAGTAACATCTAACTGCCAAATATAACAGATTAGAAAATAGGAGTATATTTATGTACAGTTTGTGCATAGTTTTTGCACTATGACAGTTAAGAAGTCTATCTTTGCAGTTAATTCTTAAGATTAAAAAAGTTTGTAGAAGCACATTATTTTGTACTATCTGAGAAGCCTTACCATCAAATCATTCAAATTATAATAATTGTCTCTAAGCAGTAAGACTAAATTCATGTAAGTGGGGAAAAACATTATATTAAGTGTGTTTGGAATAAGAAACCTTTCATTTGTTAAGTATTTCAAATTTCTCTTTGTGTTGAGTGTTATGGGCTTTCTTTGAGTGGTCCTTCATATAAGCCTACTCCATTCCACACAAGGAGCTGCAGGGCAGAGATGAAACTGCCACATGCACCCAGAAGGGGCATTCTGTTATGTCCCGCAGCCCAGAAACTCTTGAGTGCTGGAGCATGGTGGGAGACCCAGATCCGTCAGGGCCTGGCAGGTATGGTCAAAGAGAGAAAACTGGCTGAGACTGAGGAGACTTGAGGAAGGCACATCAGGGATTAAAATACTCTAATTCAATTTGTAAAAAATCACTGTGAAGCTTTCCATTTAACATGGCCAACTGACTAGCATGCTTATCTACCTCCTTAGACGATTTTAAAATGACAGTGAAAGAATAAAAAAGCTGTTTGGACATAGTGGCTCATGCCTGCAATCCCAGCACTTTGGGAGGCTGAGGCAGGAAGATCACTTGAGCCTGGACAACATAGTGAGAGCTTGTCTCTACAAAAATTAAGAAAATTAGCTGGGTGTGGTGGCACGTGTCTGTACTCCCAGCTATTCGGGAAGCTGAGATGGGAGGATCGCTCAAGTCCAGGAGGTCAGGGCTGTAGTGTGCTAGAATTGTGCCACTGCACTCCAGCCTGGGCTACAGAGTGAGACCCTGCCTCAAGAATAAAAAAGTCACAAAGATATCCTGACTGAAAGGAGACAACATCAGAAAAACATTTCAACAAAATTGGGAGAGTGGAAAGAAGTAGCAATGGATTCTTTTTTTTTTTTTGAGTTAGATTCTCACTCTGTCACCCAGACTGGAGTGCAGTAGCAGCTCCCAGCCACCGCAGACTCAACCTGCTGGGCTCCGGCGATCCTTCTGCTTCAGCCTTCCAAGTAGCTGGAACTACAGGTGTGTGCTACCACGTCCGGCTAATTTTTGATTTATTGTAGAGATGAGGTCTCGCCAAGTTGCCCAGGTGGGTCTTGAACCCGCGGGCTCAGGCAATTCACTCACCTCAGCCTCCCAAAGCGTGGGATTACAGGCTGAGCCACTGAGCCCAGCTAGCAATGGATTCTTTAGGTGGAGGAAGCTACAGTCTTCGCAAGATGGGGGCTGGAAGCATGAACATTGAGTTCTGAAGTCATCAGTATTCTTCCACAGAGCCAGGAAACTGCGTGCCCAACACTTGAAGGAGGCTGCAGGTTTAGTCCCCTGCTACCCAGCAACCCTGGCAAGCAGTGGCTCTGCCCCACCCCCACAAAGGACTGAAGAGTCTTCTCTGGAGAAACTCAAGAGCTCCAGAAAAAAGAATCTCCACCTACTGATATTTGGGCGTCTCTTGATAAAATGGGCATCCTGCAGCATGATATTCCTAAAGTGATGCTATCTGGCCAACAAATAAACCCCTTCTCTCTTTCTTTCTGTCTCTCACACAGTCTCCCCCATCCCCCAGAAAGAACTTAATAGTATCTCACTCTTAAACAAAAGATTAGAGAAAGGAAGAAAAAAAAAACTAAATGAAAGGCAGAAATCAAAAGAAAAGGCAAACAAGAAATACAGGCAATGTAGGGAGCAGAAGACAACAAAAAAAGAAAAACTATATCCTCATAGATGAGAGAAAATATATATATATTTTTGAGTTGGAGTCTCACTCTGTCGCCCAGACTGGAGTGCAGTGCCTGCTCCCGGCCACGGCAGCCTCGACCTGCTGGGCTCCGGTGATTCTTCCGCCTCAGCCTTCCAAGTAGCTGGAACTATAGGTGTGTGCTACCACGCCCAGCTAATTTTTGATTTATTGTAGAGATGAGGTCTCGCCAAGTTGCTCAGGCGGGTCTCGAACCCACTGGCTCAGGCAATCCACTCACCTCAGCCTCCCCAAGCGAAAGATTACGGGCTGAGCTACCGAGCCTGGCTGAAAATATTTCACTTATGAAACAGGAACAGGATGCTAAAAAAAAACAATTCACAGAATGAGAAAAAGCTTTTTAATTCAGAAATATGATTAACAGAATTTTAAAAATATGTTCAAGTGAGAAATGAAGATAAAGCTACAAAGTAGACTGAAAACAGAAAGAGATAGGCAATAGGAGAGAAAAGATAAGAGGATCAACAGAAAGAAAAAATAAAATTGTGGAGAAGAAATAAAACATAAAATTATATGTGTGCCTAATGCATCTGTGACATGTCCAGAAAAAAGTCAGTTGAAAAAGATCCATGTCATTAGAAACTTCAAGATGGCAGTAATAAGAAAAGTTCCTTAAGTTAAGGGTGGAGTGAGGTCGAACATGTGAATTATAAAAGAAAGGGAATCAAAGTGGCAAAGGACTCTCCAGCAATTTTGGAAGTTAGAAAATGGTAGCAGGCCACCTGAGAAATTGAGTGAAAATGACTTTTGACCTAGAATTTTATACCCAGCCAAATTATCTACCAAGTTTTAAGACAGAATAAAGATATTCTCAGATATACAAAGTGTCAAAAAGTTTACCTCGAAAGCACTCCTTCATAAAAGTTACAGAATGTGCTTCAGTAAAATGTGGGAGTAAAGACATAAAGAAAAAGACACAGAATCCACAAATGAGATTCGAAATAAGAGAGTGGCTAAAGGAAGTTCTGGGATCATTGCTGGACACCAGGTCTAGAGAGTAACCAGAGTAACCAGGATAACAGAAGGAAAATTCTAGGTAACAAATAAACTGACTATCTGATATGTGGATACATGTGGAAAGAGTATTACTGGGCCCCAGAAAATGATACCTCAAAGTATGATGCTTTGGCATGCTGAGTAATTGGAACTAAATGAGATTAGAGAAAGCCTCAGAAGCAGCCTCAAAAGCAAAGTTTCTCTCTGACCTTCTCTTGCTCTCCTGTCTCCTGCCCCTCCTTCTCCCCCAAAGCAGTCATAGAAACCAGAATTCCTCTTCCACATGGCAGGTCATAAAAACTAGAACATGTACCCACAAAACAAGTCATAAAACCGAAAAATATTACTCTAATATTTCCTCACTTTTCTTTGTAAAAGCTGGCCATAAATAAATTATCTGACCTACTTTTTTTATAGTAGATCATAAGACCCTCATTTTAGAAAGGGTCTGTCCCATACCTGGGAGAAAGGAATGCTACATAGAGGCCAAGAAGAACCTGAACAGGCAGGCCTTGCTGGGTTTTCCCCTTCATTCTATTACCATTACATTATACCTTCTTTGTTCATTCACATGTCTACACTGCTATACATTATTTATCAAACCTAAACATAAAAACAGAGTTTTTGCTGGGTCTTTGGGTTTTCATTTCTGAAGGCTCCTGTATCACATAAAACTTGAAAAACTTAATAAATTGGTTATGTTT